ACTTTCACTGATAAGAGGGGCGCGGAATGGCATGTGGTTCAAGATTGTGAATTTGATTTGTTGCAACAAAATGTCCCAATTGCAGATGTTGGAATCCCATGCTTTTCCTGTCAATGTTCTAGCTTTTACATGAGAAAGTTAACAATAGTGTAGATTTACCTATCGTTATAATTTAACAATGTAACTTAGCACACAATTAAATTTTGTGTTTGGTTTTCACCAATATCAGTCCTGTGGCTATAAGAAATAAGATGCTCTCATAAATATCATTAAAGCATTCTAGTTCTCAGGCTGTGATTTAAGCTGAAAAATAATGGATTTGGGATTGGTGTTTACTCTATAAGCACTCAAGTGCACACAAAACAAAATTTCATCCCACATTCCTGTCATTATCAGATTCAGTCCTGCCATTTGGTCATGTTTAATAACCACTTGAATTCCCAAAGCATGTGCTTCAGTTGGTGTTTTATGTCAATCCACAGCTAGTAGCTTAAGTAACTGTGATGACATTGCACCCATTTCCCATTGGCAAAGGAAGCTCAGCACCATGCTAAAGCTCAAGGGCATGGCCAAACAATCTCAAAATGCCGTTTTCAAAGATCTACCTCTTGCAACCCAACCACTTCTGATACCAAATGTGAATCAGTTTGGATGTATTCAGGAGATTAAAACAACAGCCAGGGGTGGTGGCTCACATCTGTAATCCAAGCACTTTGGGAGCCTAAGATGGGAGGATTGCTTGAGTCCAGGAGTACAAGGCAGGATGGACAACATAGTGTGACTCTATTTCTACAAAAAATAATAATAATTTAGCTGGATGCTGTGGTGCATGCCTGTGGTCCCAGCTACTTGGGAAACTGAGGCAGGAGGATCCCTTGAGTCTAGGAGTTGGAGGCTAATGTGAGCTATGACTGAAGCCACTGCATACCAGCCTGGATGACAGAGCCAGACCCTGTCTCAGAAAAAAAAAAATGCCTGCAGTGATTTAAACATAAGTTTAACATAAATAATTACTGAGGTATGACAAAGGAGTAACTGTAAGATCCTAAAAAATACCGTAAGTCTCCCTAGGCCTGACGGAGAGGACCAAAATAAGGAAAAGCATGGAAAGGAGCTCTATCCACAAAAATACACTTCACACTTTACTGGAGAAGGCATAGAAGCATCCCAATGGAAGGCACAGAAGTTTTCTGATTTCCCAAAGACAGAACTGATCTATAGTTACTAGGCAAGCAGGAAGCAAACACATGAGGCACAGACGAATCAGTCAGGTATGAGGACATACAGAGTGAGAGGATGCCATGTGGGCTTGAGGCCTCGAGCAATGTGTTGATAAGGCTGCAGGAGGGTGATTGCCAAGCCTAGACTGGGCAATGAGATTGCTGAGAAACTATACTTTATGGACACATGGCTATTGCAAAGAGCCAGTGGATGTCCTCCCACCTACACTGCTGGTACAACCTCTAGGTCCAACAGGGGAAGTCCCTTCTTCCTGCAATGTCCATCTAGGGTCCTTCACTGAGGAAGCTTAACATTGTGTTCAACGTAAAAGAGAAATGCTGACAGGAATTCTATCCATTGGTGTAGAAAAGGTTTTGAAGGGTGAATTTTGAACTGAGAGGCAGTAA